CACCCAGCGCGATGGAAGACGATATCGTCAGATGGAAGAGATACTTGGCCAGCACTATGTGGTCCTCAAAAGATTCCTGAATGGCACAGCCCGCGATGACCGTGGCAAGTCGAATAAAGCCCGAGACAAATTACTGCGATTATCGCCAACTCAGTTCCATGAACTTTCCACTGATGTTTACGACGAATTGATTCGACGACAGCAGGCCTCGCCGCCTCCCGGACGGCCACCTCGTCCAGACGTACCTCCCTATCTCCCCGCTCGACCTGACTTCCACGAAAAGCGCAACCATGCCCGCCAAAAGCTTGCTGCGCTCCACCACGTGCGTTTCCGTGATCTGGCGACCGATGTCTTCTGTGAGCTGGAGCGCCGCTTCCCGCATTTCACCAGCCGAGAATACCGCGCCCGTCCACCTCCAAATATGGGCCCTCCTAGTGCTCGTACCTCGCAGCAGTCTTCTCGGGGACCTCCTTCCCGTATGGGACGAGGGTACCCATCTGGCGGTCCCCCAGGCAGTCCATTTCCCCCGCGTGCTGGTTCTCTTGGGGGCCCACCGAGTGCGAATGGCGATGGACCGTTTCCTCGGTCTTTTCAGAGCAATACGATGGTTCCGAATAAAAGTACGATGGTCGAGGATAGCGATGATATGGGACCCGAGGATGAGGATGATGCTCGGAGTGATGCGTTCGCGCTAGATGCTGTTTTGAGCCGACGGGGCACCACAACGACCTTGGGTGACAGTGAACGGAGACTGTTGCTGGAGAGCCAGACACAAGTATCGATTCTCCAAGATAAGATTGAAAAGTTGGAAGAATTGGTCCGCTCCAAGGATGAGGAGTTGGCCCAGTCATCACAAGACGCAGATTCCTCCGGGATCAGTCATAACGAACGTCAGGAGTGGGACGAATTACGACACGACCTTGAGAGCAAGGTATCAAAAGCCGAGGATCTCAACAGCTCACTTCAGCTAGAGCTTGAGCGGTTGAGAACCGAGCACGACACCATGGAACGAGATCTCCGCAGCCAGCTCAATGACTCTTCTCGGGGCGTCGATGATGCGGGTCTACAAGCGCGCTATGTTGACCTAGAGACCCAGCACCAGAAATTACAAGTACAGTTGCAGCAACAGCAACAAGTGACCGATGAAGTCCGCCGCGAGGCAGCGACTTTCCTGATGGAGATGAAAACCCTTTCAACCGAGAGCCACTCCAATTGGGAGCGCGAAGAAAAGCTCTCGAACGAGGTCCACAGACTCGAGGCAGATGCCAATGAATGGAAGAACCGCTACGCGAAGGTCAAGGCGCAGCTGCGGCAACTTCGAACTTCGTCTGGTGGTTTCGCCGACTCGCGGCCCGACGCAAGTCTTGTTGCCAAGGAACATGAATTGGTGCAAGCCGACGGGCTGGTCAAGGATTTCCATGTTACCAAGTTCCAGCTGTCTGTGGACGAACTCCTGCGCGTTGCACGTTTCGAGGAATCGCATGTCGTGCTCCACCAGGTCAAAGTGGTCATTCTAACAGTTCGCCATATTCTCCAGGATGTGGAAAACTCCCAAATCCCGGTGGATGGGTCGGCTGCTCTGCGCGCAAAGGTCAAGGGCCAGGTATCTACGACAGCAAACAACGTGATCACCGCCACGCGCAACTTTGCCAGTTCCAGTGGCCTCTCTCCGGTGTCGCTCCTTGACGCGGCGGCCTCCCATCTTTGCACAGCTATTGTTGACCTGATACGGGTGGTGAAGATCCAGGAATCGCCTGTCGATGAGTTGAAGGATGAAGATGACGAGGCAGATGTATCTCAGGGACAATACCCTGACTATTTCGATACATCTGCCAGTCAGAAGCGGATGAGCAATAACTCCGTCTACAGTGCTATAAGTCGTCCGGATGACTCCCAGTTCCCTGTGCAGAATGGTCCCACCAATGACCTCAATCATGGCTGGGGGCATGTGCAAGAAGATCACGAGGTGTTGGAGCTTAAGGTGAGTCTCTTCGAGAAGGGTCATTTCGCGAGGAATAATTTACTGACAGGTGCTCCTAGCTCTATGTCGAGGACCAGACGGATGGTATGGTCCAACAAATTCAGGCTTTGGTGGCTAGTATCCGGGCCGAGGACAACCTGCACACTGTCCAGACGCACGTCTCTGCCATTTCGAACGTTGTTGCGAATGTGGTCTCTGCCACAGAGCACCTGATGCGTGAACGCAGCGGAGACATCGCTTTGCGGCAGACATCTGAACCAGTCATCGCGGCATTGGACCAGTGCCGCGGCCGGTTGGCGGCCACTGCTGATGAGGGCGAACACGCCACCACTCCTGAGCAATTGCGTGAGCTCACAAACAAATTGCCTCCCATTGCATTTGAGATTGCCCGGCAGACCAAAGACCTTGTTCAGCGCCTCGAGGCTACATCGGTAGTTACTGCCGAGGAAGATGACGATGACTTCCGGTGATGCGTTTGATCCAAGGCATTATTTCTCATGACGTGAATTCGGGAGTACCATATTTCCATTCTTCTCGAATTCTTCTTTATACTCATTCCTCTTTGCCCCTTGCTTTTCAGCGACTATTCATCTATGGCAACGAGTGGACAATGTCGAAACGATGTCCCGATATCTGTGGAATTTACAGGGTTTCTCTCCCTTTCATCACTTTTTCTTTCTTTTACATTTTCTTATTCTTTGTACTTTATTTTAGCCCTTCTCCATTGTTCAGCTAGGCATTTCAGCCCGATTTCATGTTGATTTGTTCAATTCTTTTTTTTTTTTTTTTTACGACGGCTTGCTGCTATCGAGCTGTTATTTTCTTGCATTTTGAATGTATACGAAAGAAATGAAAGTGCTCGGTATATCTGCATTTCAATGACTTGAGCAGTAAACACAAGTTTACCCCTTAAAAGATGCATATCTTCTCGTAGCCAAGGCTCTAGTTCGGCAGGAATATCCCGGAAGTCATTACATAATCACGGAGCTCTAGAAGCATTTCGGCATTGAGCTTCAGTTTTTTTCCTTCTTTCTACTTCGTGAAGTTCGCATTCTCATCAATCTATATCCTTTGTAAGTGAAATTGGTACCTTATCGTCTGAATGTTAGAGGACATTTCCACTTTGCTCCAGACTCTTCCAGAGACATCATTAGGCAACAGAAGCATGTTTTCCCCCTGGATAAGTCTGGAGAAGCTCTAAAGTGGAGCCTCAGGCAGAAAGTGCACAAGTGGTCTTTAAGTGAACCTCAACAAGCTAACCCCAAAACAGCCCGGCACCCGAGTTCACCCGCTCCGCCCTGCCCCTCACCATGTTCTGCCGATTGAGGTCAATAACCCCACCTTCTTCCCTCTTCTCTTCTTCTCTCTTCAATTGCACTTCTTTCCACCCCGCTGCCCGAACTTTCGCTTCATCAACCGCCGCTATGTCCAACACCACCGCTTTCTTCGAGGTCCAGTACGCCCCTGCTGGCTCCTCTACCCGTAAGTTCTTCCAGCTTTGTTATTCTCATTCCTAGTGGGGCAGAGAGTTTTTGCCTTTCTTACATCGCTGCCTCCAACCTCCAGCTTTCAATATCAGTATCAAAGCTTGGCAATCTCATATCATGTTACATTAATTGGAATTGGAATTGATGCTGATTCCATCTTTAGCCAAGACTGGCCGCATCAACTTCAACCTCTTCGCCAACGAGGTCCCCAAGACTGCCAAGAACTTCGCTGAGCTTTGCAACGCCAAGCAGGGTGAGGGCTACAAGGGCTCTTCCTTCCACCGTGTCATCCCCCAGTTCATGCTCCAGGGTGGTGACTTCACCCGTGGCAACGTGAGTTTTTTTCTTCTAATCATGATGCTCGCTGCAATTCTCGGTGTCTGACTTTTATCTTACCGGAATAGGGTACCGGTGGTCGCTCCATCTACGGCGAGAAGTTCCCCGATGAGAACTTCATCCACAAGCACACCCGCCCTGGTCTCCTGTCCATGGCCAACGCTGGCCCCAACACGTAAGTCTCAATCTGTAACCCAGCTTAGTCCACAGACCCATACTAAACAATTCCCCCTTTTTTTCCAGCAACGGCTCCCAGTTCTTCATCACCACCGTTGTCACCTCGTGGCTCGATGGCAAGCACGTCGTCTTCGGCGAGGTCGCTGATGCCGAGTCCATGAACGTTGTCAAGGAGATCGAGGCTCTCGGCTCTTCCTCCGGCTCCATCCGCTCCGCTATCAAGCCCACCATCGTCAACTGCGGTGGCAACTAAAAATCTCACTCTGGAGATTTAGTTGGGTGTTTGGAGGATGAGTGTCTTTCTTTTCGTCATGAACGTGGTTCTTTTCCCGTCGCTTCAGCGCGGCGTGGGACTAGCATAGGTGGCTTTCCTTTTTGCGACTTGTAATCTAAAGTTTCTACCAAGCTAGTTATACATGCCTTTCTGTCGTGGGGACTTGAAGTTCCATTTGTAGATCAGAGGCTCTGTAAAAGCGAGTATGTTTCTTTTTTAGTGAGAGAGGCGCAAAGCTATCATCCCCAATTCAGCTCAATCAATGTACATCTCATGTCTCTACCCTAAAGCATGAACTTATCATCTTTACTGCCTTGTTACAAGCCCTCGCGTTTCCATTCCCAGCAGAAACCTCTCCACGTTCAGGTAAGTCGAGAACTTTGATCGCGGGTCCGCAGCTACATCACCGTACCCCGCGTGAGACGGCAGGTTTTTTTCATGGAAAAGATTTCCGCCTTCCCTTCCAGTAAGACCTTTGCAGCAAATTGTGTGATATTAGTGTTAATTCCATGTACGCTGTGTTTTAAGGTCTTCCTCATGAGTGAGAAAGCAATTGAGTAGAGGGGAAATAGATCCTTAGAGATGGTTCATACGTCATAGCATATGGGAAGCAATTACTGGACACAGAAAACTGCATATTGCCCTCTTCGAATTGCAAGAAAAGATACCGGAACATCGCTGAAGTAGAATCGAATCGTCAGTGGAACCTGAGGCCAAAGACAACATAGCGCCGTGCAATACTTGTTTAACCGCAGCACTTAGTGACAGACGTAGCATCTGACCTGATAAAAAAAAGTAATGTTAGCCCAGAAAAGTTTAGTAGATAGTATATAGACAGAACGACGTACTCCTTATTCAAGTCCACCGGTTCCCAGGAGAAGATAAACGCGCCAAGGAAAGCACCAATGAAGATACAGATGATGATATACCCATTGAAGTACATAGCAAGCAGCATGATGATGTACGCAACAGCAAACTGTGTCATATGCAGCAAAGAGCGTACAGTATGCTCAACAAGCGACGGACGATACGGAGCACGCATGCCCTCCTGTCTCTCAATGCGCTGGACACCGACATCCCGCATGGCATTAGCCGACGCAGCAGAAGCCTGCTTTCTCGAAGCTCCGTTCTGGGGGGTACCCGACACAGGAGTAATTACGTCGTCGTCTGCATTGTAGAACGTAGCATCTGGCTCTGCGTTACCGCTGCAGCAGTTGCCAGACGGCTTGATGGTATCTTCTTCACTCCGCAGGGGAACGTTTGAGACGGATTGGGCGGTGGAAGAGTCCGACATGTAGAGTCTTCGAAGACGGGCTCGACGTACAATGAACGAGTCGTATTCTCGACCCAGACGGCGGAGGAGCTCGAGGCTCAAGACGAGGCAGATTACTCCAATGCACGAGCCGGCGAACATGCCGCGAGAGGTTATGTGCCATGATTTGGCGAGGAAGCCTGAGTGGTTAATTAGCTTGTGGAATTGTCTAGAGGGGTGTAGGGTGGCGTACATGCGTCAACTGTGTACCAGTTCCAAAGCATCTGATCGTAACTATGTGTGAGCTTGATCCTGGTGTATGGAAGAATGAATCTGGGATTGATATTAGACGGACCGAGATTTTGCAGCTACCTCCCATGCCCATTCCGTCCATTTTCATTCCGGTGCCGCTGGCCATAGCTGCGGAACTTGTCGATGTAGCCATTGGCATAGTCATCCCATTCATATCCATGATTGCTGACTGGGGACCTTGGGGAGCACTGAATCGAGATATTCTCGTGTTGATCGAAGCAAAAAAGAGAAGTACAAAATATATAAAAGAAAACAGACAATGGAGTAGTTCATCCATGAGCCCTAAAGTGAGCAATATGAGCACATTTATAGATTTGGCCCTAAAAGCCTAATGGGAGGTAGTTTGAGCAAATTCTCGGAATGGCCGTAACTGGTAACATTAAACGTAAGACAGGGTATCAACTTGAACTATTCTCCCATTTGAATCTTTTGATTTGTTTTTTTTTTTTCTGCGTCACCCCCGGGATCCTTTGATGACACCTTCCAACAACTCGCGGATCTGACTGCACCCATCGATCCCGACCGCCAACATTGTCTCAAGGTACGTAGCGTGAACCTTAGACTCCATAGTAAGGATACACACCTTCATAGCCTCATCATCCTCATCCATATTGTTCTCGCCAACGGGCACTGCCGTCGTCGTCGCAACAGTGAGCGAAGGCAATTCCTGTTCTTCTGGAAGCGACAGATCCAGCAGAGGATCAAGCTCGTCATGTCGCGGGTCACGCGGTGTAGAGGCGTTGCCGCTCATACCGGCAGTACAGCCAGTGAGTAGTCCCGGCATGGGGATTCCAGCGTCCACGAGCGCTAAGGTACAGGCGTTGATTGCCGCGGCCATCAATGAACCGTCCGCCGAGAGAACAGAGACATGAATGCTAATTGTGCTGTGGGGATAGAGGTAGGTGTGGAGGTGAGACTGGAAGGCTGCGCGGAGGGTTGTAGCGATTCGCGATGATTGTCTGTAGTCCGGGAAGGTTAGAATTGACTAGAACTGGATCTGGTCTGCTGTCCCTTCAATCCTTTCCCTGTGGCAGGACGAGGCAATGGGAAGCCATAAGAGGGTGCACATACCTGTCACTTCCACCGGCTCTCCGCTTGCGATCTACCCCGGCAAACCCGGCGACGTTGACGTCTACTTCCACAACCGCATGACCACTTCCCGCAGCTCCACCGCCGCCATCTCCCCGGCGACCCTCGGCAGGGCCGTGGACAGAGCACATGATTGATGTGTTGCCCATTGACAGGTATGAAGAGCCGGAGCTGGCGGGGTTTGTTGAGATCTGGGCTTGGAGCAGGCGGAGTTCATTCCAGCGGCGACCGTCAAGACGCAGCCGCGTCAGCGGATATGTTGTCGAGGTGTCCAGCGGCATCTTTGTGGGCTGAATTGAGCTTCTGATAAGAACGAGAGTTGTCTTGAGTAAAAAGAAGGTATGTCAAGCAGGATTTCAAGCTTTATTTTGTGTTATCTGTGGACTTAGGTCAGTCAGGTATGTCTTGATCGAGTAATGACAGAGGTAGAATGTTATTCTGGACTTACGTTGGCTTTATCGCATATGCAAAGAATCGAATGCCAAACCAATGAGAGCATCTTTTTTCTGGTTCTCTTGCACGTGACTTGGTGTAACAAGTATAAATGTAGAACCGTTTCAACCACTTCTTTGAGTAGTTAGATGTTATGAATGAGACTCAGATACTTCTGGCATAGAGAAAGAAACAGAACACGAAATTTATGCTACAATATTTGCCCGATTGAAGCTTTCCTAAGAGACCGGACTCACATTTGCTTCATGGCCGTTATCGCCTGCCGTAACTTACGCAGTGTCGCGACAGTCTGGTACTTCCACTTCAACTTGCGCGCAGTTACCCTTTGAGCGCTATTTTCAGAAATGCAGGGATCATGGCGAATAACGAGAATATTGAGGAGCCCATCATTATTAATTCAGACGATGACGACTTAGAGGCGACGCACTATGCGACTCCGATTGCTAGCAGTATGACACCTCTCCGACGCGTCTGACAGACAGCTCACATTACCTGCAGCCAGGTTTTCTAGTGTGAAACACGAGACACCTACACCATTCAAACCTGATTCATCGCGTACCCTTCTTTCCGGGTCATCAAGCGCTGTAAAGATCCAGCCCGTGGACAGCGATGAGGATGACGCCAACGATGGCGAGCTAGCATACAAGAAATTCAAGGAACGCAAATCCCTGAAGCGCAAACAATCAGCTGCAGCAACCCGCAAAGCGAAAATGCCCAGGGGAGATCCAATCGTTGGTCGAGTAAAACAAGAGCGACCAACGCCCTTGCCTAAGCGGCCGTTAAAGCAATGGGGCGAGGTGTCTTCCGAGGATGAGCTGATGGAAAACACTTTACCTGGATATCTCAAAACTCGTCGCAGTCAGTTTGACCGGAGGTATGAACATCTGAAAGATCATGGACTGAAGCTCCCACCCACCTATGAAAATGTGGATTTCTCGGACGACGAGCGGCTTGAAGAACTCCAAGAACGACCTGTCTTTCCGGTTAACACCCGAAAACAGGAGTACAAGGACGTTGAACTTCCGTACTCGATGGGCATCATTCCTGCCCCGATCGCCCAGTGGTTGCGGCAGTATCAAGTGGAGGGAGTGGCGTTTCTGCACGAGCTGTTTGTATACCAAAAGGGTGGTGTCTTAGGCGACGACATGGGTCTCGGGAAGACCATCCAGGTGATTGCGTTCTTGACCGCTGCCTATGGAAAGACAGGCGACGAACGGGACGCAAAGCGCATGCGAAAGATGCGTAGATCTGACGACGGCACTTGGTATCCACGCACGCTCATTGTGTGTCCAGGAACTCTTATTGCAAATTGGGGGGCCGAGTTTGCACGCTGGGGGTGGTGGCATGTTGAAAGCTACCACGGGGAGAATAAAGATCTCGCTCTCGATGCAGCAAAGTCGGGGAGGGTGGAAATCCTGATTACAACCTATACCACTTATATGAACAACAAAGACGCTGTCAATATGATTGAATGGGACTGCGTGATTGCCGACGAGTGCCACAAGATTAAGGAGCGCAAATCCGGGACCACCCAGTCTATGAACGAGATCAATGCGTTATGTCGAATAGGACTGACCGGCACAGCCATCCAGAACAAGTATGAAGAATTATGGACCCTGCTCAACTGGACGAACCCCGGTGTTCTGGGTCCGGTGTCTACCTGGAAGGCGCAAATATCAGAGCCACTGAAGATCGGACAATCGCATGATGCCACCCTGAGCGAGCTCAGCAGAGCACGAAGAACAGCCAAGAAGCTGGTCGAGAATCTACTCCCCCAATTTTTCATCAGAAGGATGAAGTCCTTGATCGCGGATCAGTTGCCCAAAAAGATTGACCGGGTTGTCTTTTGTCCTCTAACTGAGACACAAGCCGAGGCCTACGAGAACTTCCTTGACAGTGATATCGTCGATTATATAAAGACATCTACAGAACCATGCGAGTGTGGATCGGGCAAAAAGTCTGGCTGGTGTTGTCGCCGCTTGATCCCCAATAGGGACCCTCCAAACTGGCAATCCTATGTGTTCCCTGCTATCAATGTGCTTCAAAAGCTGAGCAATCATCTGGCAATTCTGATTCCACAAGGAGTAGACCCAAAAGAGAAGCAGGAAAAAGATAGAGATTATTTGGAACTTGCGCTGCCTGAACAATGGGAAGATCTTTACCGCTCGCGCGACTCGATCGTCAACTACGCGAACCCTGAATTTTGCGGCAAGTGGAAGGTCCTGCGGAAGCTACTTAAATGGTGGCATTCGAATGGAGACAAAGTTCTTATTTTCTCGCATAGCGTGCGTCTTCTCAAGATGCTGCAAATGCTGTTCCATCACACTAGCTACAACGTCAGCTACCTGGATGGATCTATGAGTCTCGATGACCGTGCAAAAGCTGTGGACGAGTTCAATGCCGACTCGCGACAGTTTGTTTTCTTAATTTCAACCAAGGCTGGCGGTGTTGGGTTGAACATCACCTCGGCAAATAAAGTGGTAGTCGTTGATCCAAACTGGAACCCGTCCTACGATTTGCAGGCCCAGGATCGGGCCTACCGTATAGGACAACTTCGCGATGTAGAAGTCTTTAGGCTTATTTCTGCCGGCACGATCGAAGAGATTGTATACGCTCGACAGATCTACAAGCAGCAACAGGCAAATATTGGATACAACGCAAGTTCCGAGCGCCGGTACTTTAAAGGCGTTCAAGAAAAGAAAGACCAAAAGGGTGAAATCTTTGGTCTTAAGAATTTCTTCGGTTATCAGAACACAAATATCGTTCTGCGCGACATCGTCAACAGAACAAATGTCGCCGAAAGCCGTGCGGGAGTGCAGGTTGTCGACATAGACCTCAAAGCAGAAGATGAAGGCCACGACTACACCGATCGACCAATGAAATCCGAAGATGAAGCAATGAGCCAACTCGCGGCGATGATCTGTGGCGAAGATGATGACAAAAAAGACCATAAGCCTTCGGCCAATCTTCCGACACCGCGTAAACACGACCCCGTTCAGGCGATTCTCGCAAGCGCGGGCGTGGAATACACCCACCTCAACAATGAGGTGATCGGTTCTTCACGTGTCGAGGAAGACCTCAGTCGTCGTGCTGAACTGGCGCCAAATGACACGGCAGGTGACCGCCAGGTCTTCATGTCCTCGCAGCCTTTCTCTCAGCCGACAGGGGAACCTGTGCGATTCAAGTATCATCCTCCGGAGGATGTTATACGTCGTCAGTTCTGTAGTATGGCGCGGCGGTTTGGATACGCTGATGCTACGGAGTTTGCGCTCGTTGTCGAGGGTATGACCCAGGCGCAGCGGAGAGCTTGTCTCGACAAGTGGTATCGAGAGAGGAGAGAGGTACTACTGTCTGCGGGCCACAACAGTCCTGAGGAGTGGCCCAAAGAGGAAAAGGTTCCTGAAGAGGTGGGTGTGAAAGATGAATGGATCAAAGATGAAAAGGGCCCCGAGGAGGAGAGCCAGGATCTTTGAGTGGGTTTGTTTCTGTTGCTATTCCTTCCTGTTTGATACCCCCTTTCTAGTTGTATGACATGCATTTGATAATGCGATATCTGACCACGCTAAAAAAAAAATTCATCTGGATAACATAGCACCTGTAAATCATTGGTATTAAACCATTCCCTTGGGAAGGCCGTAGGTAAATAGATATCCAGGTTGCAACGCAGACACGGAACTAAAGCCAAGCTAAAGTCCACAGTGCCGGCAAATTGGGGTATCGTTCTTGCCAATCCGCCAAGATCTCAGGGACCTTCTCATCAAAGCTCTGGCGTGCAGGACCGGTCCCGTTTTCCCAGCCCTCAGAGCCATGAATACGATGCTCCGCGACAGCAGCCTCATTCAGGCGATTGGCCAGATCAAGAATCGCCTTTCCACCAGTCAAGGCCTCTTCATGGTTATCCTTGATATCGACATTGAATACGTGGACAGGGTAATTGAGCGAGGTTCCCTTATTCATCAAGTCATCGACAACAGCATCCCAGCAGCGCTCTTCACATGTGATGATGACATCAACAACGCCGCCCTCTGTTCCGATCGCACCCTTATCACCCTTGGAGAGATGGTCGACACGCGGAACGCCAGGCACCCAATCCTGGAACCGTTCGGGTCCCCACTTCAGCTGGCGATTGCGGTCGAGCATATTCAGGATGCCGTTGCTGCGGTACAAACGCTCGTCTTTGCTTGAGAGCTCCTCGTACATTTGGTTGTAGGAGGTTGTGTTAAAACTGTACACGTTTGGTTGGGTGATTGATGGGCCGGGGAGGCGGACGAGGGAACCTGTGCCGAAGGATATCACAGGGAAGGCTGTTGGGGCGCCGGATAGCTGGAGGTGAGCTTCCATTGAGCGGTTGTTGTTTGAGGCGCAGACTGTGCAGAACTTGAGCTTGTACGAGTCTGTGGCTGTGTTGGCCGGGTTGGACGTTTCTAGGGCTTGGGCTGCTGAGGCCATGTCGGCTTGTGTGGAGGTCTCTGGTGGTGGAGGGGGAGGGGGAGGAGGTTGGGGAGTTGAGGTCCCCGAGTTTGTTCGGCGAGGATCATATGCCATTTTGAGGGGGAGACTATGGAAATGATAATAGAGAGGGACTAAAGGTTTGTGCTTCTAGGTATTTGGGAATCGATGACCATGAGGGTTCCCTGAGTTTTACAATATCCTGTTTGACTATCAGAGGCAATTAGCGACTGATTTAAAATTGGGTCTTTTGTGACATGAGGTGTGGAAACACAAGTTCAGAAAAAAGCGTATAAGTTTTATCCGCATAGCAAAAGCTCAGACAGCTCCAATAAGGTATTCATCAGGTTGAGGGAGGGAGAGGGTAACACGACACACATACCAGTTATCACGGGCCGTAGCCCTGAGAGACGAGAGAAGAGCGAGTTTGGTGGAAGTTGAAAAGCTTCGTTTTGTTGGTGCCCTGGCTTAGTCATGTGCATACCGCTAATTCTTCCGCCTGGACACGGAGCTCATGGGAGCTCCTATTCTGCCTGACAAATATCAGCTTATCGTAATCGTTCACAACACACATCCCTTTCTTGAAGCTTCTCTCTCTTGATCAGGTCTCTCCACCCTTCTCTTCCCTCATAGGGTAGAATCAGAATCTACCATCTCCAAAAATCACAATCCCTCCATAATCCTGTCTATAACCTCCACTAGCAGTTACTTTCACGAATTTCTAGCCCCAAAATGGCAGCAAATGATGCACTCAGGCCAGCCCTAATTGTGGTGGACATGCAAGAAGACTTCTGTCCTCCAGTGAGTTAAAATTATACAATAGAAGGCCAAATGTGCTGATAAATAGAATAGCACGGGTCACTCGCCGTTGCAGGAGGCCGCGAAATTGCCTCGATAATCAACACTTTACTTGCAAAGCCAGGATTTGTCACACGCATCATGACCAAAGACTACCACCCAAAAGACCATATCTCTTTTGCCAGTAACCATCCAGGGCCTGACAACCAGCCCTTTACCTCATTCGTTACAATAAACAATCCCGCCCTGGGAAAGGAATCAGAAACAAAACCACAGCAACTCTGGCCAGTTCACTGTGTGGCTGGTACCCCCGGTGCAGAGATTATTCCCGAGATTGATACCTCCAGCGACCATCTAGTTGTTCACAAAGGTATGCTCCCAGGAGTTGAGATGTACTCTGTGTTTGCGGATGCTTTCGGAAACTGTGATCATGGAACCAATGCACATTCGGTCAGCCTAGATGTTGCCACAACTCTGAAAGCTCAAGGCGTTACAGATGTATTTGTTGTGGGTTTGGCTGGGGATTATTGTGTCAAGGCTACAGCCCTTGATGCTGCCAAGACTGGATTCAAAAGCTGGGTTATCGAGGAAGGAACTAAGTGTGTCGTGCCTGCTGGTTGGGATGCCACCAGGGAGGAACTTGAGACTGCCGGGGTGTCGATTATCTCTATAGATGACCCCATCATCAGGCAACTGGGGGGGAATTGTTGATCTGTCTTATTCTCTTATATCCTATCTTGATTCAAAGGTGAATCCTCCCTTTCGGATGTTTGTTTTTCTGTGTCTCGTGTTGGATTTGGAACCAAGTCTCATACTGCCTGGCTGTAGATCTCATGATAGCGCTGTATATGAAAGTAATGTGTTTTCGCGTGATTGTGTTACCCTGAGCATTGTCACACAATAGGAGTTCGCTATGGAGAGAGTGTGTGTATCCCTCTGCAGATGGACGAGAGAGGGAGGAGAGACGTTACATATTCTTAGCCCTGCCCAAGACCACCCTATATGATAGGACTCTCTCATGTATTCCACGCCCTGTGTTCGAATTGGAGAAAACCAACAGCTCCCAATGTCTGAGTGTACGCCCTATGTTGGGGATTTAGAACAATTTCCAAGGTCCGTAGTATATGCATAAAAATAGATCGGTGGAGACGTGATCGACAAATGACTGCCGGAACCGCATACCCCCTTTCGGCACTGTACTGCAGAGTGACGTTGTCCCAAGGGAGGAGATTCAACACTCACCACTCAAGCCATAGATCACATTGTAGAGCGGACCGAACTAGATCAGTTCAGGACTTGATCTACTCGCGATGATTCACTCAAGGAGTCTAGCAACGGCCCCAATCAACACCCTCGACGGGCGATTGACCGATACCGATGCAGCCCTGCACTTCAACGATCGCAGCCTATCCTCCGAAAGCCTCCCATATTGGCTCGTCAATTTACCTCGGTCGCAATGGACGGCCGAATGTCCTAGTTATTTACGTGACCAAACGCCGAAGAATATCCGGTGCCTCGCGACCCCTGACTACCTCTATACCCGACAGAACTGGGACCAGGTGAAGGAGATCACAAGTTAAGCGCAGACCTCTGATTGTCAGTGGTATATTTAACTAACGATAAAGTGTAACCAGGCACCAATCGGATCGATCGGTTCCGGCGTGTCCCAAGCGAGCTGCGCAAGTACCTGGAATATATGGCGCAGATCAAGGCGGAGTATACATCCGTCATGAGATTTGTGGTGAAAGAAAGGCTAGGCTGGGGGGATGGTAATGTGGAAGACATCAAGCCAAGAGGTGGCCCCTTTGAATACGAGGGTATGGCACAGGTCACCTGGTTGGGTGTAAAGCACGTGAGATACTAACGAAAGTCTAGAGGACGTCCGAATCATATACAATGACTGGCCATATGGGGTGGATAAGGACATTATCCATTTGGTAGTCTGGACCAAGTTCCAACTGGAAGATGATCCAGCCACAGATGATCTGACGCCACGCGCACGAGAGGCCATCGAGAGCTACGTGCAGAAGACATTCTCACGGGTCGAGGAAAAGGTATGAGAGGTGTCAGCATTGCCATGATGAAAAGCTGACAACATAGGTCTGGTTCAAGAACTGGAAATCACTCAAGTCGGTTCCCGGCATCGAACACTTCCACGTCATGCTCCATCGGCCCGATATGGAATTTGTTAGGGAGATCACCCGTGGGGATGTACCACTGATTGACCGAATGTCCACTGTTTACTAGATTATAGATTGAAGAAAGTGAATGGAAGTTTTGTCATATGTTCAGTGCCAGGTACTCCGTACATTACCCATGCATTATAGCCGGTATACAACATGGGCCTGACGGGAATTCCCTGCCAAGACTGCCCCTCTTTGACGATCGTTTAGGGAAAAACGTTGAATGAAACAGAAAGCTGGAAGTATACGTTTCTATCATTTTTAGATTCCTAAAAGAGTGTAGATACTCTAGATATAGCTAGGTATAGCTACCTATGTACTCCGGGGGTATAGGTGGAATAAGCACCTTACAGCTGATCCCAGTCAGAAAATCAGAAAATCAGAAAACCAGAAAATCAGAAACGTCACTAGCCCCTCCATAGTGCTAAGCATTTAATATGTGTATGAATATTAAATGTATTGTCTTTTAGTGTCCTTTTGTGTCATTTTTCCCTGTGAACTACACAAACCTATTTTTTTCGTGTTCTTTTTTTTTTTCTCCATAGTAAAAAAAAAAATAGCCCGGTTTCCGGAATTTCCGCCAAAACAAGTCAGCTGTTTATTTAGGCATCTGTTTCTCTATTTTATTTTTCTATTCCTCTGAATATCTTCTTTATCATAAATGCCTTGGGCTTAGCGGAATTCCGTGATATAGCTTATTTCCGAACGCAGTCATGCCGGTTCCGCATCTCCGCCGTGCTTCCCAAGCCAGTAAGTTTGTCTTCCCGTAACTTTTCATCCCACTATCACACATCAAAGAATTCCAACATGTCAACTAACGTTGATCCAGGCAGATCATCTAGATCATCCATGGAAGATTCCCCGCCAAGTGGAGAGGATGAGGTCGTTGAGCCCGATCAGGGAAACGGTACGTGCAAATCCACACTCAGTCCCCGGAGATGAGCTAACTTGATATATCGGTTTAGTACTGTCTCACATCATTTCTCAGTTGCGCCCAGGTGCTGATCTGAGTCGTGTCGTCTTGCCGACATTCATTCTCGAGCCCCGGTCTATGCTGGAGCGGATCACCAAGTACGTTTTACACCCCGCAGCTCCAAGCGGGCAGCCTGGAGCTTACCGGATCATATGCTGAGATACATCAACTGACAAAATCATTTCTATAGCTTCATGGCCCATCCTGAAACACTCCTTCCTATGTCGGCCATTGACGATCCCCTTGAGCGCTTTGTCTCCGTGGTGAAATTTTATCTGAGTGGATGGCACATCAAACCACCGTATGTCGCCCGCTTGCTGTTTGTCTGGGAATATATGCTAACCTTTGCATAGAGGAGTGAAGAAGCCGCTCAATCCCATCCTGGGAGAGACCTTCACTTGCTACTGGGACTATCCCGATGGAACCCGTGCCTATTACATCTCCGAACAGACCTCCCACCACCCACCCAAGTCGAGCTATTTCTTTGCAGCACCGGAGCATAAAATCCGGATTGATGGAACGCTCAAGCCCCGCAGTAAATTCTTGGGCAACTCTGCCGCCAGTATGATGGAGGGTATCGCCATTCTGCGACTGTTGAACCACGGAGATAAAGAAAAGGGCGAAAGATAGTATGTTGCGTCGGTCCTTATAGACCTTTCGGTTACTGACCAAACTAGTATTCTGACCCAACCCAATATGTATGCGCGCGGCATTCTTTTCGGAAAGATGAGGTATGAACTTGGCGATCACAGCTACGTGCGTTGTCCTGAGAATCACCTCGTGGCCGATATCGAGTTCAAGACCAAAGGATATTTCTCCGGTACTTATAACGCCATTGGGGGAACTATCAAGAACGAAAAGACTGGAGAGGTGCTATATGAACTGTCCGGAATGTGGAATGGGGAGATGGACCTGAAGGATGTTCACGTACGTTGCGCATACCCAAAGCTTCTTCCGGATTCAATGCTGACCGATAACAGACCCACAAAAAAGACATCTTGTTTGATGCAACACACGCGAAGGCTACCCCTCCTTTGGTCCGCCCCATGGAGGAGCAGGGAGAGCGGGAATCGCAGCGACTATGGCATGACACTGTCCAAGCGATTATAGCCCGCGATCATGAAGCTGCAACGGACGCAAAGACCAAGATCGAAGACCGCCAGCGAGAGGAGGCGGCGAAGCGCGCCGATGAGGGACTTGAATGGCGTCCGCGACTTTTCCGTCATATCCAAGGTGGTCCCGGTGGACCGGATGAGGGCGAGGAAGACCTTGACTGGATCATCAATGCTCAAATGTAAGAACAATTCCTCAACCCCTAAAGACTAATAACTAACAGTCTCAAGTGACATGAACGATCCCCAGGTCGCTACCAAGCAGATCCTCTCAATCGTACCGATCGTCCAAGGTCAGAAGGAGTCATCGCAATTTCAAATCCCGCCGCATCACCCTCATCCTTCCGCTTCCGCGAACTAGGAATCCAGGCATATACCGCCTCACCCAGCTAATGCCACCACCCCCAGGCTCCGAGACAAATCCCGATGCCACCCAAAGCACCGTGGAACGAACAGATCCTCAAACATCAGAAGCGAAGAAGTTTGTAGACGCCCAGGAAACCTCATAAGCCACCAAAAAGCCCCATGCGTCCACCCTCTGGCCCCCGTCCATGCTATCGTCGACTTGATCGAACCTGGCTGCTGGGGTCGCCTCACCTCTCTCACTTTCACCTGATCCTTGAGTGATATCACGCTCCCTCTCTCTCCCTCCCTTCCTCTCTCTCTCTCTCTCTCTGCCTTGATGTAGTCAACCTGCGCAGATATACCCAGCACAGCCACTCGAGGCGGCTGATAGTTCCCCTCTGCCCCTCTGATGTTTCAACACAGCGTTTTTTCTCGGTCATCATGCCGCTCCCATTGCTGGATACCCGATCTGATTTTATCTGAAAATTCAAAAATCTCAAACAATTTCCTAAAATCTCACCTGAATCTGAGTATCCTCCATGCTAAACGTCTATATACAATACAAGAGGTACATAGCAGGGTTTAATACCGTCTCAATCAGACATAAGAGAATCCATGAAGACAATTATAGTTACAATATGAAGGAAGTTGAGTGCTCTCGGCATTTTATGCATTTAGGGCCTGGCGTTTTACTCTCAGATTAATCTCCCCAATGTCCACTTACATCTTGATATCCAGGAGTTTTGCCTCTCTTGTTCAAGTCCACTTGACTTTTGATCAATTGATTTTGTGTCTCTGTCCATTACTATACAAAGCTCTCCTAGAAGAGAGGGATATCACAATAGATGACAACTACCCAGCCACCAGATATTACCATACAAAGACAACCAAAACTCCCCTCCAATATCCAAACACAAAACGCCATGTCAAACCATGCTTTACTCCTGAGAGTGACTCACCCGTCACCAAGCTGCACAAAGATCATGAATACAACTCTCCCTTGTATCCAGCCCCACGCTCTAGATCCCGTCGCCGATTACCTCGCGGGATAGCACCCGCAGAGCCAGTGTAAGCCAAGCCAGAACCAGCCGCCGCCGCATCCGCAGCAGCCATCGACCCACCACCCTCATATTCCTCTCTCTCCTCTTCGATCAGCATCGTCTGCTCCTCAATCTCCTTCTCGGTATCCTCACGCAACCCCAGTATATCCGGCGGGATAAAGCTCATCTGCACACTGGGCGCACCCTTGATATACCTCAGCTGCTCATGGACAGCCTCGACAAGACCCTCAAGGTACGCGCGCGTATTCTTATTATCAAGCTTGCGCATCTCCGACAGAGGCGGGAAGAGCGAGTAATCAGGACCGAAGTGATTGCGGAACGCGACAGAGTCCGGGATAGTGGGGTCGATGATCTTATCTGCCTCGAGCAGGATCGATGTCTCGTGCGCCCACGCGCGAGAGACGTTGCGCGGTGTGTAGCCGCCACCGCCAACGACTAGCATGGGTAGGCCGAAGGTCTTGGTGTATGCGACGCAGGCGCCGTGCGCGCGCACGTTCAGGTTGAAGCAGCCTAGTCGGTCACAGCCCAGACTGTCGGCGCCGCATTGTAGAACGACTGCGCCTGGTTGATAGGTCTTCATGCATGCGCCGATTACCTCTTTGAAAAGGGCGATGTAAGATTCGTCGTCGATGCCGTCATTGAGCGGGACGTTGATTGCGTGGTGGGCGCCTGGGTTGAGTGGGTGTGCAGGACCTGTGTCTTCGCGTGCACCGGTGCCCGGGAAGAAGTTGTCTTTGTCGTATTTGTGGAAGGAGACTGTGAGTACGCGGTCAGTTGACCAGAAAGCTTGCTCGACGCCGTCGCCGTGGTGTACGTCGATATCGATGTACATGACGCGCGGGTGGTGGCGCAGGAGCTGGAGCGTGCCCAGGACGATGTCGTTGACATAGCAGAAGCCGCTTGCTTCGGCTTTTTTGGCATGGTGGAGGCCGCCGGACCAATTAATTGCGATGTCGGATTGGTTGTTGCAGAGCTTGCGCGCGGCGTCGACGCTGCCGCCGGCGTATAGCGAGCAGTAGCTGTACAGGCCGTCGAAGACGGGACAATCGTCACCGAAATTGAAGCGCACCACGTTGTCTGCTTGCTCGGGCTTGTCTATGTCGCCAGGCATGATCTGTTTCAGGAAGTCGAGGTAGTCTCTCTCGTGGAAGTCGGCCATTTCCTCATAGGTCGCTGCGCGCGAGAGATACAGGTCCATGGCGTGGTGCATGCCGTACGCCATGACGAGCTGTTTGGTGAGCGTGAGGCGCCATGGCTTCATTGGATGTGACTGGCCAAAGTGGTGGGGCTCAACGGCTGGATTGGCGTGCCATGATACCCGATAGCCTTGTGGACGAGCTATTTGTAGGTTTTGGAGCTCGGCAGTGGACTTTTGGTCGAGAGTAAGGGTCGGCTTCGGGGTGGAGGGAGATGCATACTCTTGAACGACGGAAGAGCGAGCCATCGAGATCGATAATTGGGTTAAGGACCGGGAATTAAGGAATTATGAACGCCAAAACGTTCATTTTAGATGGGATAAATGGAATTCGAGATGGGACCGACGGAAGTTCATGACTAAGCAGATCGGCGGGCGGGGCCAATCTTGCATGTTTCCCGCTCTTCCAGGAAGGAACGGACAAATAGGAAGGAGCAAAGGAGGATGGAAGTGCTTCGGCCATACATCACCACTATAGGCTATACTATATATGTGGAAATTGCGCTGAGTTCTACTTTTCAGTGAAGTACCCGGCTTGAGATGTCGAAGCTCATGATAGTCCTATATGTTCAACGTTCCAAGCCGTTTGAGTGCCTTTCTGATACTTGTGACATTGGAGATCCTCGGCCTTCACATCTTCCTAGATTGATTCACTGAATGCTGCAGCAATCAGCTTCTGGCACTCACATCTACGCCAAGTCATGTTCATCGAATCAATACCGAGGTTAGGTATATCTTCTAGATGCCTGCCCATGTGCCTTGAAACGTTGATATAGAGGCGATGGTACAAGAGAGCTATATCAGCACCGTAGCTCTGGAGAAGTGGAGAGTTGCACATCATCAAGGGGCTGCAATTACCTGGAGGAACTCAAAAGTGTAGAGATGATGAGCGAAAGCTTGTTTCACCTGCGTTCCAATGCCTTTAATGACGTCCTACCTTCGGGGAGAAAGCTATTTGTGCGGCTCATTTTCTGAGATGAGCGTCTATCCGCCCCTAACTCTTCACCTAGACAATAGTTATATCTATGTCGGATCAGCTTGACAAGTCACTGTGATCTTCGTTACCATAAGACAACAACCATGGGTCTACCATCAGCAGGAACCAGCCTGCGGCGATCTCTGCAGGATCCACAGGTATTCATCACAGCCCCAGGAGTATATGACGGAGTGTCAGCACGGCTAGCACTAGCAGCAGGCTTCGATGCGCTTTATATGGTATGCAATGCAAGATGAGCAAGATGTCCCCGTCGGGATCCCAGAGCTGACACCACCCACTAGACAGGCGCCGGAACAGCCGCCTCGGTACATGGCCAAGCAGACCTCGGAATCTGCACGCTGAACGACATGCGAGCGAACGCAGAGATGCTAGCAAATCTCTCCCCGCACACACCGCTGATTGCCGACGCCGACACCGGCTACGGCGGGCCGATCATGGTAGCCCGCACAACGGAGCAATACGCGCGGTCCGGCGTCGCGGCCTTCCACATCGAGGATCAAGTACAAACCAAGCGATGTGGACACCTCTTCGGCAAGCAGCTCGTCGATACGGATACCTACACCAGCCATATCCGAGCGGCTGTCCAAGCGCGCGAACGCTTAGGCAGTGATATCGTGGTCATTGCGCGGACAGACTCGCTGCAGCCGCATGGCTATGAAGAGAGTTTGGCGCGGCTGCGGGCGGCTAGGGACGCGGGCGCGGACGTCGGGTTCTTAGAAGGCATTTCGTCAAGGGAAATGGCCCACCGGGTTGTGGCCGACCTTGCGCCGTGGCCTTTGCTGTTGCTGTTGAATATGGTGGAACATGGGTCCACGCCTTCCATTTCTGCCAAGGAGGCCAAGGGGATTGGATTTCGGATTATTATCTTCCCACTTGCGACTCTGGGTCCGGCTCTCTTGGCTATGAGGGAGGGCTTGAAGAGATTGAAGCTCGATGGCTTGCCTGGTCTTGACGAGGAGTTGACGCCCCGCATGTTGTTTAGAGTTTGTGGGCTGGATGATAATTTGAAGTTGGATGCGGCCGCTGGTGGTGTTACGTTTGACGGTGGCGTGGAGTTAAGATAAATGGACGCCTGTGAAAACGGCAACTTCCTCTTTGGAGAAGAAAGATTGTAAATACTAGTATCGTCTCCACCCGTCGTACGATTCTATTTTTCAGCCACATTCATTATGTTCGAGAAACTGAAATCACGATTCTGTATACCCTGTATACAACAATGTGTGCATTATCTGGGTCTAATTTAGATTACCATGCAAAGAAAGGGAGCCATGTGGTTTTCTTTTATGGTTATGGTTCGCGGGTACACTGACAGCAGATTTCATTTCCCCCAGCCAATAGGATAAGTTGTAGATCGATCGTACCGAGGATCCTCCCGTGTCGACCTTGGTTTTGTTTATTGACAAGCCCCCGGGGCCATTTTCTATAATTTTTGATCCAGGGGCTTGAAGGGGTCTGCTGTGATTATATTGATTTAAGTGTTCAAAGTCGTGGGTACCTGCATCAAGGTGTCTGCCAGGGGTTCCTGCACGAATAACCCTAATGTTTCAGGAAACGCTTGTGGCAAACCGTACTCCGTACACCGTTGATACGATGATACAGTATACTACGATATACGGAGTACCGAGTACATACTTTGTACTCCGTTCGGAATCTTTGGAAAGCCAGGTGCGCTTAAAGTTTCAGTAAAACTAGACACACATGAAACGACTTCAAGATTTAGCCCGAGTTGAGTTAGAAGGCCTGGATTCCCGACGGGCCATTTCGGCCTGCCATTATGGAGACAGTCCGGAGACTCGTCATGTGGGTGGAGAACGGCTTCGACGCCACCAGTGAAGATACAAATGGGTGTGCCTTACAGAAAAATATCGAGGACCCATCGGCCGCGTAGGGGTCTGGCCGCAGATCAACGGCAGAGATTCGCCCTGTTATGCGCACATCCGTGGATACGATTAACAGAGTGAGGTCAATCCTTATATTAATTGTTACGGGGAGGAAAATGTGATCTCTTTGCTGTATGTTGTAACGAGTTGGGTACTAACATACTTATAAGGTGCTAACGAGTGTCCACGTATGTTGTCGTGTGAGTTGTTATTTCAGATTGCCTTGGAATTCGTAAGACAGTTCAGATCCTTACTGTCCACCTGCGCCGATTGGTTTATGTGGGGAATTAGGATGACGGGGATAGTCGTCTTGAGGTGTATGTGTAAGTTTGAACGTTCTTTGTGCATCGTATCGAAATTTTACAAAAGCCTTGGTATTCAAACCCTCATATGGACGTTGGGCTCTCGTGTCCACGTCTTCGAGATATTTAGCATTCCGATGGTACTCCGTACACGTGTTTGACATTAGGCAAGTATAAATCAATGACAAATTTTCAATAATAGGAATCATAATAATAGAACGGATGTTCTTTAATAATACGGAGCACGGAGTAGGAGAAGAGGATAAAAATACTGAATATAGGAGAGACAACCCCTTATCCCACCTGCACAGCCTGGGAGACATAGTATAGCCAAGTAAACAATACCAAGGGAAATAGAGTCTGGGCCCTTGACAGCCAGCCTTGGAACCAATCAAACCGGGTAAAATCGGTGCACGGCCAGGAACCGCCAGGCACCGACCAATCATAAATCGATGGCCCCTGATTTTTGGGAGTTTCTTTTTTGGGTTCAAGTCCCAGCCTAACAGCCCGTTGTGTGTAACTTGGTATTGTACTAATAGGCCCCCCTAGTCCACTTTCTTCTCTTCTCTCTTCATCCTCACACACATTCCTTTGAATTGAATTTTCCAGAGCTTTCGCTCAAGTCACTCATTACTTCAATTTTCAAGATGCATTTCTCCAACTCGATGCTGTTGATGACAGCGCTGACCGCTGGGTCGGCTGTCGCTCGTCTTCACGGCCACGACCGCCGTCACAACCACCTCCGAGACGTCGTCGACATTGACGTCGAGCCCACTGTCACTGCTGCCCCTCAGATTGCCAATGTTGAGAAGCGTGGTGAGGATGTTGTTGCCGCTACCATTGACGGCAAGCTCGTCCACTGGATCAACAACTGGTTCGGCGAGACCTCCGCTGATGCTTCTTCCACCACCGAGGCCCCCAAGGCTACCGTTGCTCCCTCTTCAACCACCAGTGCCGCCGCCAAGTCCTCCACCGAGGAGGCCGTTGAGACCGTCAAGCCCACCCCCGTTGCCTCTAGCCCCTCCAGCTCCGGCTCTTCTGGCTCCAGCAACTGGGCCAACTACCCTTCCGACGGCAAGTACTCCACCAAGGGATTCGGTTCCTCCACTGCCAGCAAGCGCGTCGGCTCCCTCGACTGGGACTACATCGGCAACGTCGGTAGCCCATGGGGTAGCAACATGATCCGCGTCGAAGAGGACACCGCCAGCGAGTACAAGCACGTTATCCGTTTCGAGAATGACAACTCCAAGGCCTGGACCGTCGTCATGTGGAACTCGTACGGTCCCAGCGGTGGTCTGAACGGTTTCTGGAGCCCCAACAAGGCTCTGAGCTTCACCGTCGAGCCTGGCCACAGCACCTTCGTCGCCATCGATGATGACTCTCAGGGTGGTTGGGGTGCTGCCGAAGGCGAAGGTCTCCCTACCAACTTCGTCGGCGAGTACGCCTCCACCTGGGGTGAGTTCGACATGAGCAACTCCCAGAACGACGGCTTCTCCGGCTGGGACGTCTCCTGCATCATCGCCCAGCTCGCCGACATGCACATTGCTGGTATGCAGATCTGCAACCACGAGGGTGAGAAGTGCTCTTCTATCTCCCAGGGTGCTTCCAAAGTTGTCAGCGCCTACACCTCCGCCGATCAGGGCAAGCCCGACAAGGCCGTTTCCCAGTCCGCTGGCCCCGTCCGCCTCGTCGTCAACCTGGGCTGGTCCTCTTAAACGGTCACGCCAAGTGTTCCCATCTCGTCCTATTTTCAGCAATTTTATCCTCTCTACTGAGATCTCGTCTTTCTTGCGCAAATGGTTCAACGCCGAAGGTGTCCTTGTATCTTTTCCCTGATTCGATGTGTGCGTGCGCAGGTCGCTTGTCCCAACAACCATCCTGGCCACACATCCTTCCATCTTCGAGCGGCTCCTCGATGGATATCTTTGTTCCCGTCTAGGAGTTTATACATATCTTTGTGGTCATGATTCGCGTCCTTTCGTCTTTCTTCTCTGTACATATACCATCTGATTTGAGAGTTGATATCATTTCCTTTTTCCTTTCATTCAAACCTACTTACTCTGTATACTTGATTGTATTTAATAGCCATTAAGCGCCGATACCTACAGAGGGACATCGACCCCAATGTACCATCGGTCCATTATCCCCTCTAGTCTCCCAGGATCATTAGGGCCCGACGCCAGTTCGTCGGTCATAAACCTGAAACGAAATCGTGTCTATCGCCAAGCCCCACTACCCCGAAACCGATATGCTATGATCCTTCGGCACTAAATTGTATGGCTTGCATGAGGCTCAACTAATTATCTGTGCATGTTTGAGCAAGAGGGTTGCCATTTTGACGGATGAAGTCCAAATTTGAACATATTATAAATGTCAAACCAAAAGCTTAATACGTAAAATTATGACCTCCGTACATTATTTAGGTAGTTTCAGGAATTTTCGTGGATGAATCTGAGATGTCAAGTTCAGAGTTAGGGCTTCGGAGGAATGCCAGCATACATGCAGTGACATCTACCAAGGATGAATGTCACTACTGGATTCTTTGAGGACTCGATTATCTACCATAGTAAGCAAATGAATCTTCTATTGAATGTGATTATAAAGCTAAAAACAAAGGAGATATTTTGAGCAGTGGGCCAGATCAAAAACCTGCAAGTTTGGTGTGGCAAGCAACCGGAGGTCGACACACAAGTACAAAGGACAAAACGCACTGTTATCGTACAGCCTTCGCGTTCACCTCAAATAGTAGAACAAAACACCAATCCCCTAACGTCCACGGGACCAGACGCAAGGAGCTTTCAATGCCTAGAACGCGCCCAGGAAGTCAGCCGCAGACCCAGGATCAACCTGCAACACACCTGCATCTTCCTCAAACTCCTCCTCTTCCTGGACACCTCCAGCCGAAAAAGAAAGCAAGCCTACATGCACCATATACCCAACGAGAGCAGCCGTGCCCGCCACAGCAGTGGCAATAGACAATAACATATCCTTGTTACTAGAATCCGCATACGAAGACAGAACCTGTTTCTCAACCGAGCTAAACGCCGAATCAGCCTCAACAGCCTGCTTCAGCCGCCTATTCTGGCGCACCTCACGCAAAAATGGCGTGTTATCCGCCAACGTGCCAAGGAGGGTAGTCCCGACAGCAGCGACGGAGATGCGCTCAGGTGCGCGCCACGGCAGAGCAGCTGGTGCCGTCGGCTGGAAAGCATGCTTAGCCTCGACGGGTGCGTCTCCGAAACAGCGGCTGCGCATGCGCTCCGTGTATGCTGTCAGTAACGGGGCCTTGGCGCGCATCGCATCGCGCAGCCAGGGGAAGGCTAGCTCCGGTACGAGCGCCAGCGACAGGTAGCCCAGCGCGACGCAGTCCAGAGAGGAGGGGTTGTTGTTGTCGTCGGCGGGGAGCAGACAAATCTTGCTGCGGGCAAGCATTGCTTCGAGTGGCTCGAAGAAATCGGCTGTGAGGGCTTCCAGCCGGAACTGATTGGTTTGCGCTGTGCGGCCGAGGAGTTTGGAGACTGTGTCACGAGGCTGCTGGATCATGTTGCTAGGGATTTGTCCGGCTGCTACGGCGGCGGAGTGCTCGCGTTTGCGCTGGTCTTCCATTGCTTGCAGGTCTAGCGAGGATAGGCCGAGGTGTTCGGTGCGGGTTTTGGCGGCGCTGTGGAGCTTAGGTGGAAGGATCCATTGGTTGGGCCATTGGAGGAGAGAACCGTAGGCTGGGGATGTGTTGGTGTAGTAGTTCTGGCTGGTTACGTAGAGGGAGAGATCGAGGAGGGATTGGCCGCGGGATTCGATGAAGGAGGAGAAGCTGGGAGGAGGGTTTATTGTTAGTATTTTTTTTGTTTCTCGCGCCATTTCGGGCGTAGGGAGTGCGTACGC